AAGATTTCTTGTAAAATTATAAGAATCAATTAAAATCAATAATTAAGTTCAAACAAACACTAAAAAAGTATGAAAAACATAAAACTACTTGTTGATACCCAAATTAGCTCCGATTAATTAAATAACTAATGAAATAATAAAGAACGGCCCAATAACCAAGGAGCCGAAAATCATAATAAATAAATATACAAACGGGTTCTCAAGACTGATCACCTAAAAGCAGACATGGTCTTTAGATGTCAAGTCCGCCTGCTGTCGAGCCGAACATAATTCAAAGTAATCGGTTGCACATAATAGCTTCCTAGATCGGCACCTCGGGATCCGAGGGTCGAGGTCGACCTTCCTAACTACACCGAAGATCCGAAGTTCAAGTTGTGGAGAAAATCCGGCCTGAAGATTCGACAAGGCCGACCTCTAGCACGCAAACATGACTTGGAAATCATATAATATTGCCACTTGTCAAGTGATGATTGCCGATAGAAACCGCACCCTAGTCACCGTAGTCAGCCACACTCGAACGCCTAGATTGGTAGGGCAGCATGACAGCATTTGATGCTCCACATGTTTGCATTTAATGCTGGCAAGTAATCATTGAAAAAACCTCCGACTTAAGTGGAGGAATAGTGCCTGACTTTAGTTACTATAAATAGGAATTCACCCTCATTTATTAAGGGCTGAAAATCTCTTCCAACTCTCTTTGTCTCTCTCTCTCTCTCTCTCTATTTACATTTACTATGTAACAAATAGTGAAATTAATCCCAAGTGTAATAAACGAGCCGACCTCGACTTCAGAGGCCAGTCTCGTAATTAAAGCAATAAAGCTAGTTTCCTTGGTAAATTCTCTCTTATTCTCATACTTATCTACCCTAAATCATTACTAAACGTTATTTAACCATTGACCGATTTTGATCGTCAACACTACTATGCCAAGAATACGATTTATTTTATTACCCCACACTTAAACGGTGTTTGTCCTCAGACATCAAGTCAAATTTATCATCTATTCTCATAATCACCTCTATCATTTGTTATCAATTAAAAACCATTTTGCAAACATCATAAACGTAGTTAATGACAGGATCCTCATAAACCAACATCTATGAATAATCACCTCGACAATCAAATAACTTAAAACACATGAGATTCAACAACTTCGAATCCTACGAAGGTTCAGAGATATGTTTGATTAATTTTAGAGGGTTATTTTTCTCTTATTTAAGTTAGACGATGGTAATGTCAAACACTCCGGCCGGCTGGAAATCGACTCGCCTTTTTCTTTCTCGCTGGTAGAACGCCGCGTACCTGCAAAGAACTGTCACACCGAAGGTGTTTTCCGGTGAAGAGCATCAGATGCTTAAGTCAGTATAAACTCTACTTGAGTCTCAAGAGTAAAAATGGATAAATCTTTCTCAAAATGTAAAGCTCTTCCTATATATAAGGGCAAGATACCTGTTTCTAGAAGCTGCTCGGATTTGCTGAGCTGGCTGCCCAAAGCTGCCCAGGCCTGCCCGTCCGTACACACATAGTGTACGTGTGTCAGAGGCGGTTATCACAATATACCAATCATGTTGCGCCATGTGTCCTCCGCACATGGGGTCTTCATTCCTCTAAAATTCCGCTAAAGGCTCTTATGCTCGATCGTGCCTAGGTCGATCCTCAAACTGCTCTTAATCTGTGAGGTGGTCGATCAAATGATCTTTTGCTCGACAGGCCGATCTTCGACCAGATCCTCCATGGACCTGGGACCGACCTGTTCTCCCCATACTGGAATCACCCGTATCTTATTCTCATGGTGCTCGACCACTTCACTCTGCTCGATTCTACTTGGCGAAGACGGCCTGTTCGGTTCGTTGGACTCGTTCGACCGGCCTAGTAGACTGGTTTACTCTTTTAGGTATAATATCTCATATCATCTAGTCCTTCCACTCTAGTCGAGTCTGAATGACTCGATCTAAGAGCCTATTTTCGTCTGTCCCTCAAACTGTTGTGTTTTCTTCCCTATTTTCGACCATCTAATGAGTTTTCATTTACTTTTTGGCCGTCACTGTGAAATTCAAACCTGCTACTTGTTCTGTTTGTCAGACGCATCAATCATTGCGTCTCCTTGCGATTTGCGTCCCTTCGTATCTCGCACCCATTAAATGCATGTTGGAGTGAACAGACAGGGAGTAAGCGATACATGAGCAGGTGGACGGAATCGTCTCCTGTTTGTATCCTATATCAGACGATGTGTTGTTCACTTTCATTAGTTGCATTGTAGGAGTAGTTGGTTTTAGAATATATAAATTGTCTTCCAATGAACTAGGACAAATGATATGTTTATTTTTTCGAATAACAACCTTGTTATCAAATAAAATAGAATATCCATTAATTCCCAACTTAGAAACCAAAATCAAATTCTTTCTAATGTTTGGAACATAAAGAATTATTCAAAACTAAAACACTATTATTAAATCTAAGATAGTGCAACCATCGATTGCCCATGTAGATGGATATCTCGTCATCACTAAGTTGTCTGGTTTCCTAGAACCCCTGCAAAGAATTGTAAATATGATCAGTAGCTCCTATATATGCACACGAGGTACTGATAGATAATACCGCTAAACATGTTCCAACAAGAAGTGAAAATTATTTGCCTCCATTCTTCTTCTTCTTCTTCTTCTTCTTCTTCTTCTTCTTAACAAATCATGTCCTAATGTTCAATTCGAGAATAAGTCATTCGACCTCCAAATTAATGTTAGACAACATCTAACTTAAGTCCGAGACAATTCAAATGGTGAACCATCTTCTTCTTAACAAATCATGTCCTAATGTTCAATTCGAGAATAAGTCATTCGACCTCCAAATTAATGTTAGACAACATCTAACTTAAGTCCGAGACAATTCAAATGGTGAACCATCTTTGAAGATCCAAATTCAAGTTCAAGAAAAGAAGAATAAGAGGAGATAAAAATAGAGATTGCACACGCAACATCATTTGTCATATTATCTTTAAAATCAACAACTATTGTACATGCACATCATTGTTCACTGCGCCATTTCATAATGTTAAAATAGTTTCATTCTTGCAAATACAATATTAACAACTTTCCACTCTCATAGTCCCAATTGGACACACACTATTGTATCCCTTAAAAAACAAAGGAAAAAAATATTATTTGCAACCTATACTTTCATCTTTTTATATTTTGCAACCTAAACTTAAATTTATAGTAGATAGCAAACCGTACTATTTGAAAATTTACAGTTTTGAACTTAAACTATGTTCCATAGCAAATAACAACTCCTACTATTAAAAAATAACATAGTTTACAACTTCAATTACTTTGAAACTAGAAAACATATCAGAATACACAAAAAATAAGAAAATAAAAGATCTATATCCGAATGTATTTGGGAAGTTAGCTCTTACACGTGGAAATAAAGAAAAAAATTTTAATAACACAAATCCATTAATATAATTGAGCAAGGAATAAAATAATGTACCGTATCGGTTAGTAATACCGATTTCCCACCAAATAGTCTTGTATAAATACACATAAAACACCGAATTAATGAAGTATTAAATTGTACATGAGTTGTATTATACTTTTATGCTGCACATACTTAAAAGTACTGGTCAAAAAAAAATTATTTGTGAATTTAAAACTTAAACTGAAAGTCTCAATATAAGCTTAGTCAATTTTAATATATATATATATATATATATATATATANTGTTTTTTTTTTTTTTTTTTTTTCGAAACGATAGGCATCTCATTAGTATTGGAAAATCTTATACAAAGTTCGATTACAATAATAACTAAACAACGCATGAAATGGGAGACCTCACAAGTGAGGTCTAAATGCCAAATACTAGTATAGGCAGCACGTAGCTGAAGTCCTATACTAGAATAATCCAAACACAAGCCAAATTTGATAAAAATCTGGCTAAATAGACCTAGATCATCTAAACCAATTTTGCACATAATGGCTAATCATCAATAAATTCCTGCCATTCCCTGATAGCTTGTCTAACTAGACACAACTCAGGGAGTCTTTGCTTATGGAACACCCACAGGTTGCGGGATTTCCCCAACCACCATAACAGATAGATAGTTAGTTATATTCTGTTTTCGTCTATCGCTTTTGAACTCAAAGAACACATGGACCACCACCAATCTAGAAATGAAGCACCAAATAAGGAGAAGTAGTCCAAATTTGCCAAACCTTTTGAGCCATGTTGCATTGCAAAAATACATGAGCAATTGTTTATCCTTCTTCACCACAAACTGGGGAAATAGGGTCAACATCAAGTCCTCTACTACACAGCTTGGCACAAACTGGTAAGGTCCCAGATATACTTCCAAATGAAGTGTTTGATCTTCCCCTTGATTTTCAATTTCCATGTCCTGGCCTTGATTTTCACATGGACACTATTATTTTTCAAATAGTACAAATTATTAATTGCTACGAAATTTAGTGTAGGTTGCAAACTGTGATTTTTTAAGTAGTATGGGTTGTCATTTGTTGTAAAATTTAATTTAGGTTGCAATTAGGGCTGCAAACGAATCGAACGGCTCACGAGCCGCTCACGAGCGCTCGAGTCAAAGCTCGACTCGAGCTCGAGTTTGACCGAACTCGAGTCGAGCTCGAGCCCATATTTTGCCTTGTCGAGCGGCTCGAGATACATATAAATTACTAAAATACCCCTTTATATATACATTAGCATAGGTCCTTAATGGTAATTTTACCTTTTCACTTACAAATTTTCGAGTCGAGCTCGAGCATTTTGATTTCAAGTCGAGCTATTGTAATTTTTTATCGAGTCGAGCTCGAGCCTCAAAAATCGGGCTCGACGAGCTCGAGCTCGAGCAGCTAAAAAAAAAAAAATCAATTCTGCTCGATGAGATTAATGCTCGACTCGGCCGGGCTCGTTTGCACCCTAGGTTGCAAGTAGTTTTTATCTCAAAAATAAAATCGCTCGACTCACATCCTCTCCCTTCAACTTAATAAAGACGCGTTAATATGCGAATAAAATAAAAAACTCGCAACTTATTTTCATGATTCGTGCCTGAAAAGTGAAAATTGTATCCTAAAAGGCGCTCTTTTTCGCTCTGCTTAATCTTCCATGCCAGATCTCTGACTTTCTCCGGCAAGAAGTAAAATTCTTCTTTCTTCCCGAGGATCCCCGGTAAAGAATTGAACATTTCCCAATTTATTTCCATTTTCTACATTGTGATTGAGAATCGCCGTCTTACCGCCTCCCTATGGAGTTTGATCAACATGAACATTTTGTTTTTTTTTTTTTTCNTTTTTTTTTTTTTTCTTCGGTCAATTTTTGTGAAACAGATTATTTTGAGCTGAGTTAATTGTGGGAGAAAATAAAGGGTCGGAAGAAATGTCAGGGGGTGCGGCAGGTGGGTTTGTGGCGCGGGCATTCGAATCAATGCTCAAAGAATGTGCTAACAAGAAGTATAATGCTCTTCAATCTTCCATCCAGGCATATTTAGGTATGCCCCTACGTGAAGCTTACTTCATTAGCTATAATTTCTGATGTTTTTATTATGAGTTTTGGGGACGGGCCGGGGAGGAAACTTACTTCTGGTTCTTGATTGAGCTTGATATTATTTATAGCTGCTGCTTGGTTATTTTAGACGAAATGTGTGTTACTTGTGTGCACATTTGGGCTGTTTATAACACCCTAGAATACTTTTTACTTTTGAAAGAACTGATCTCTTTGTCTCTCAATCTGTAGTACTGGTTAATAACAATACCCTTGATCCTATAATTGGTCAACATGTGTAGCATGGAGTAAACATCTTTAAGATAGATGGATATCAGGCTTCTATAACATTTTGATTTATGCATACAAATTCCTTACCTGTATCCACTGCTTGAGGAAAGGGGGAATATATATTTTTTTTATTTATATATTTCTGGACATCATAATACCCTATTTGTGGACTCGTAGGAAAGAAAGATCATCTTCATGGTCTTGGTGATCTGAAGTTCTATAATTCCGGCCCTTGGTTTTGATCATCAAGATTACGATTGATTACGCGGTCTTGTTTGAATTCCAAAATCGAGGAAATGTTTCCCTTATAAGTCTCTGATCCGGATTTTTCCTCTTTATAACGAAGATTGCCTTTTATCTTGTTACAGTAGATGCGTTTACTTGGGCTATTTTTTATGTGCATTTTTTTTTTCTTTCCTGGGGACACAGGAATGGCATTTTGAGCAGGAGAAGTGACTGTGATGGCATACGTATACATTCACTTGCAGATTGCTCTTTACCATCAATTATTTGCGCTTATGTAACTGAAGATGTTTGAACTAGGAACTTGAGAAGATAGCACATCACATTCTTTTTATGCATAAAATGATCTGTTTCTTGTTAAAAGAAAAAGTTATGTCTAAGATTCTTTTATGTTCTTTTAACGTATATTGCACCTCTGCTATTAATAGATATTTCTCAACTTCTATTGTTTCTCCAGACAGTGGGAAGAACACTTATCAGCAATCAAACAATGGTGAGGTTAAGCAAGTTCCATCAGCAGTTACAAATCAAAGGTGTTCTAACCTCAGTGATTTTTTTTTTTCGTTCTTTAATTTTGTTTTTCTCTTGGAAACCACTGTTCCGAAAACCTCAACATGCACTTGCATGTTTCTCATATTACATAGCTAGTGTAATGTATGAAAATATCGATAGAGGACCTAGGTATACAAATGAGAAACATGACAGGAATCAGAACAACAATGCTAGATTTTTAGATGAGAAAAATAATGTTCATGAGCATGAATCTACACAAATGCAAACTGATATGAGTTTTGAATTGTGAGAGATAGGTAAATGGAGAAAAGTATATGTAGTCCATTGATTTAATTGAACAGTTGTCTAGAGGTCCCGTCTCTCTCCTTGAAACTAGACCTCCATATGGTGCTAAGATGATAATTTTAGGTCTAGTTGCTTTGTTCTGCTCTCTTTTGGATTCCTTTTCTTTATTATGTTTGCGCATTGAGCTTTCATATTTTGCATGATAAGTGCATTTACATAGGCCATAGAAATAGGTGGTAGTTGATGGTCTAACTATCTCCCTTCTGATTTTATGATGTTTCGTCGTCTGGGCAACCCAATAATCATGATTAATGCAATTACTGAATTTATTTTGTAATATCGGAATTTAACAAACATTTTACATTCCTGATGGACACACTTATCTACTATAAAAGATCGTGCCTTTCGATTTCTTTTTTCATACAGTTCCATTTTTTTCATGACACAATTTTTCAGTGGTTCATCGGGATCTGATTCGTTGGCTGAAAAATGTGAGGGATCTGAACCTACGAGCAACAGTGGATCAATCAACACAGCCCTGGCAAATGTGGGTCATACTTTGGGAGAAGCTGAGGCTGAGCTTGTTCTGAATCCACTTAGGCTTGCCTTTGAAACAAAAAACGTGAAAGCAGTGGAACTTGCACTGGATTGTCTTCATGTAGGTTCACTTTTCTCAATGTTCAGTTTTAGAATGTTCCTTTTGCAGACTAGGAAAATGAAAGTTAATTAATGGTTATAGGGTTTTATTTTGCATTTTCCTTTCTTTAGTTCTGTGATTTAAACTGCACATCCTGGAATGTTGATTGGCCTTTTTTCCCTGTCCTGAATATCACAAAGATACTTGTTGTTTGCTTTTAAATTATCATATCCTTGTCCAAAATATGTCAATATGTGCTTGAAGATACTGGCTAAAGTAGCTAAAAGATATTTTAATGGGTCTAAAGTATTTTGGAGGAAATTTAGTCACTTACATTTCCTTTCTTCTTCATTATCTCGATGCAGAAACTCATTGGATACGATCACCTAGAAGGCGATCCTGGTCTTGATGGTGGTAAGAACTCGAAATTACTGACAGACATCCTCAACATGGTGTGCAGCTGTATGGATAATTCGGCACCTGACAGGTAAGTGCTGTTGGTGCTTTTGAAATGATGTCTTTTTCAAGTTTGGCATTTACTGATGATAACCATTGGCAAATAAACTGCAGTACTACTCTTCAAGTACTGAAAGTGCTTCTTAGTGCCATAGCATCTACAAAGTTGCGGGGTATGCTATATTTTCGTGGGGTGAAAAATTCATCACCTATCTCTCTCATTATTACGTTTCATTTCAGAAGTTGTAACTTTCTGAACTGCTCTTGTGCAGTACATGGTGAACCATTGCTCGGGGTCATCAGGGTTTGCTGTAATATTGCTCTTAATAGGTACTATTTTCAATACATTGTCCTGATAACTTTTTGATCACATCATCTGTTGCTTATATTATCTTCTTTTCAATCTTTAGCAAGAGTCCTGTCAGCCAAGTTACATCGAAGTCTATGTTAACACAAATGCTCAGTATTATTTTCCGGCACATGGAAACTGATGTGGTATGTGCTTAAGATTTTCTTCTCCAGACCTTTTCCTTGTTTGCACGCTTCCTCGAGGGACAGAGAGTATATGCATAATGGGTAAACCAATCCCTTCTGATTCAGGTTGTTTCTAATATCCAAGAAGAAGTCTCATCCAGTGGTCATAATGATTCAAGAATGACTTTAGACAGTATACTGTCTGTGAAACAGATAAATAGTACTTCTCGTGTGTCCATTGAAGAACTTCAGAATCATGCTGGCGGAGCTGATATAAAGGTACATTGGAGTTCCCATTGGCACGTTCTCCATACGTTATTCTGATATTTAATTGTCTTGATCTGTTACACATTATATTTATACCATCTCTAAGGTTCAGCAAGATTATTTTTATACCTTCGTGCTTAATCACTTTCCTCACAGGGTATGGAGGCTGTTCTTAAGAAGGCTGTGGATCTGGAAGATGGAGCAAATATCACAAGGTATAGCCAAAGTACTTAATGATGATTTTATTTATTTATTTTTTGCATTGTTGGGAGAGCACATTGTTTGATTTCTTATTTCTGATTCACAATTATACAAGGGACTGTAGGTATATAATAATTGGAGTATTTTTTTTTCAACGTCTTCTGAAAATTACTCTTAGTTCTTGATTGTCTAGTTTCTAATCGATATCTATCTTCTTCCTTCAAATTGCTAAAATCTTTCAGAGGCTTAGGTACGGAGTCCATGTCTATTGAACAGTCTGATGCTGTACTTGTATTCCACACACTCTGTAAGGTTCGTGTCTTGAAATTTTTTCTCTGTACATTCCAATTGTTATTTGTAAACAAAGTTTGATTTAACTGAATAATGTGTTTGTAGATGGCTATGAAGGAGGGCAATGATGATATGACAACCAGAACTCGTGTGCTGTCTCTGGAGCTTCTGCAGGTTCGTTTTGGTATCTATCTCTAAATAGGAGTCTTTCACGGTAAAAAAATTCTATTTAGTTTAATTTTTTGAAATGGAAATTCCAGTTTATTAGATTTGTTCCCTGATCAGTTTGGGTTAGTTTATAAGTTTTAAGTTATGCCCTTTCAGATTCAGTATTATATTATGAAAGAAGATCTAACTACATTATTGAATAGCAACTATCATGATCTATGGAGCAGTTGAATTGTGTAGTCTGGGGATGGTTCAACCTTGGTGTGTTTTCTTCAGGAGACTGTAAAATCGAAGGAGGTGGTAGGCACAACTAGGTTAACTCAGGGAAGCGGGGTGGCTAACCATTAAGCAAGTTACCAACCTGACTTAATGTCTGTCTCGTCATGAGCGATCTGAACTTCGATTCTTACTTCTTCCATTATTTTCTCTTACCTGAGCCCTCTTGGAAGAGTCTTGTGAAGGAGAATTTCACACTTACCTCACGAAAAAAGTTCAGTGAGAAACTGTTCCTCTATCTGTTGTGGGTTGCCATCTTGAAAGTTTTTCGCCTTTAAGATAGGGCTGAAGGTATGTTAGGGACACTTTGTTCGTATTCCCCAACTCAACATCAAAGTGGTCTCGTGCGATCTCATGTGCGGCCGTCATTAAGTCAGCTGGGCTGCCTGCTGTTACAGAATCAAGAAAAAATATTTTGTGA